GGCTGTTCCACACACCAGATTATGCGCATAGCTGAGGCTAGCCTCAAGAGCAAACACTCGCGGCAAGCCATGAGGTTGCCAACCCGCACAGCCCAGTGTCGCCTTCAGGACGATACCAACTTCGCTTGCTGGTGGCACGGGACCTGCAGAATGAATAACACATGAAGTCACAACAATGGGCCAAACATATATAAGGGGATCCCACAAGCTTTGCTTCATCCCAGGCACATTACACTCCAGCTCTTGCAACAGAGTGCAAAACCTCCAGGTTTGACCGTGAGGATTTGCGCCACACAGATCCTTGAGTCCAGCTCTCAAGATCTCAAGTCAGAAGAAGGTCCCCAAGAGCAGAAAAAGTTGCAAGGAACATCTCAAAACCAAGGTACAAGAAACCTGCAGGAGTGAGTATGTTCTGTACTTTCTGGTCATCTTCGTAGTCAAAGCTTGCTCCAACAAAATTGGCCTCGGTGACTGGCTGTTGCCAAAGGAGGTGAACCCTGATGAATCACCCATCAAAACAAAAAAAGAGAAAGTCAAATAACAATCATCACAAAATGAAGGCCAGGCAAACCCCAGGCACAGCTCGAAGAGCACGGCTGGCCTCTCCAGCACCGGAAAAGATCTCCATGAAATCTGTGGTTGCTGGGGCAGACGGCAGGCCTGCTTGTTTGACCAAGATCACACACATGATCAAGCGGGGAGGTAGGTGCCAGCGAAGCATGGTTGCCACATCAACCATGGTTGGCAGCAAGGCTTGAGGCCAACCTTTGTTTGAGCCCACCCTTTGCGACCTGTTAGTAAATGAGGGGCGTGTCAAAAAAGGAACACTTCCCCAGTTTGCATTGCATGCCCTCAAGCCATCAACATAACTTAACTCATGCTTTCATCAACCCCAAGGCCACGCATCAAAGATGCATCTAGCTCTTTCAGACCTGCAACCCCGACAAAGTTTCTAGGTAAACCTTCTCCGTTTGCGTTCTGCAACGGACATGTTTGCAAGCAAGGCAGTCCTCTCAGCACTCTCCTTCCAAAGCCCCAAGGCTTCCCGGTGGCTGTATCCAGATTCCTTCTGGCTGTCCACGAAAAACTCTTGCTGCTTCTGAAAATCACCAGCCTTATACACACAGTTACCTGCAGGCTGTTGCCCATCAGATCTGGAGGCCTTCTCGGTGTGTTTGCTCACTGTTTTCTTTGGTTTCTTTGCCTTTGGCCTCTTGTTTTTCCTATTTCCCTTTTGTTTTGGTTCTTTCTTTTTGGTTTTCTTTGCGTCCGTCTCAACATCCTCAGGCTCATCTGGCACAAGATCCAACGGTGGTGGAGCTCGGATGGTCTTCAATACCTTGAGCACCTGCAAACACTAGCACTAGAATCACAAGTCCGAACAACTTACGACCCCAATCTTCAAACCAAATGTTTCAACATCAATGGCCTCTGGGGGTAAGACCATCGGTTCCACCTTTTCCTTCTGCAATTTCAAGTCAGGCTTGGGGGTCTTGGCGATTGCTGAGTGAGTGGTTGCCGCAGGCAAAGGTAGCGGAGACTTAGGCTGCTCAGATGTGCTTTTCAACCTCTGCAGCTTCACCTGAGCTATGATAGCCTCCATGTCAAATGGCAGCGAAAGGTGAAGCACAAGACGAGCTCTCCCCAGACTCCTCGTTTTGCTTGTTTGCATCTTGCAGCATAGCATTGTGGTCCTGTGTTTGCTTCAAGCAAAGGTTCTAAACAGGGCCCAAAAAACTGCAAGCAAGAATTCAAAGCACAGAAAATGCCAGCAAAGAAATGCAGGAATCCACATTCTCCAAGTTATCCCTGATCCATTTTAGGTTTTTGTTCTTCGAGGTGCAACTTCGCTTCCACAAGCGCCGGAAACGACTCGCCTCATATGAAATAGAAAAACAACTCGCCTCATATGAAATAGAAAAAGTTCTACAGGTCTACAACTAAAGCTTCTGGAGAGAGCACGGGCAAGGCACTAGGCGAGCCATCGCAGAACCATTTTTGGAGCTCCATTCTGCAATAGCCGGCGCACGCTCACTGATACCCTTGGGCCATAGATTGCTCTTCCCATAGAAAGCAACAACTGCTGCAGTCATCAGATGTTTGCTATAGTACCCTCTGCCACCAGATGCATTCATCATCGCTGCCACAACCTTGGATGAAGAAACCCATAGCCATCAAACTTTCAATTCAGGTGTGCTCAAAACTTGGAGGGGAAGAAGAAAAAACATGTTCTTCTGAAAAACATGCTAGTGGCTTCTCTGTTGGACTCTATGTCCTTCAAAGTGCATTGGCTGGAGCCTTTTCGAGAAAAGGTGTGTCCACCGTGGTCCGATATGAACGCAAGTCTAACCTGAGGCACAGGTCCACAGCAAGACATCCATCAGAGACGGTTCTTAAACAGGTGTTCTCAACAAAAACATTCAGCTGAATGCCTGCTTAAGCCGAGGATATTTCCCCAGCCAGTCAGCAACATCAGCTGCAGTGTGTTCCATGGCTCTTCTACCACAGTCACAGACCCCAAAACGGCTCACAACACGCCGAATTCCACAGAGCACAAAGTGACACTTCCATGAGCATTGCTGTGCAACAGAAGCTGCATCTGATGAGGGAGGAGGCACCTGTCAGCTTCAAGACATCAGTATCGATCAGCTCCGACAAGGTGTGCTCCATACTTCACCCCAGCATGGCACTCACGAGTGAATTAGGGACAAACACAAAGTTTGTTTGCCACCATGTATAGGCCTTGAAAACCATAGCTGTTGTGTGTTTTTTTTGCTCTTGCTTGGACTGTAGTTGCTGGGCTTATTTCTCTACTAATAGGTTCTGGATCCTTTGTAATAATGCAAATCACAACTGTTGTGCGCTTGCTTGCTTTTGTTCACACTGTAGTTGCTATCTATTCCTCATTCCATTCTGGTCCCTCCCGTGCAGCTGTTCTACTGCCTGCAAAAGCAAAAATCATGTCTCTTTGCGCAAAGGCTTTGTTTGTGTGTGTATGTGTGCACAGCTGCGTTTCTTTATCAAAACTTCTTCAAAACATTTGCCTAGATTCCAAACACATCTTGTTTGCTGCGCAAAAACTCACCAGGGTATATCCCAAACACATCTCAACATGAAAGGGTTGCTGGAAAACAAACTCACCAGGGGGAAGCTGAAAGCATCAATCACCTACATCAAGGTCTCTCCAACCATCAGAATTAGCCTGCATGTTGCTGCCAGAATCCTCTCCAACCATCAGAATTAGCCTGCGTGTTGCTGCTAGAATCCTCTCCAACCATCAGAATTAGCTTGCGTGTTGCTGCTAAAATCCTCTCCAACCATCAGAATTGGTTTGCAGTTTGTTGCTAAATTCCTCTCTCCCACCATCAGAATTAGCTTGCAGTTTTGCTAGCAAAATTCTCCCCAACCATCAGAATTAGCTTGCTTTTGGCTGTGAGACACTGCCTGACTCTCTCCAACAATCAGAATTAGCTTGCGGTTTGCTCAAAAACATTTAGTGGAAGACTGTGGCTGTCTCTCCAACCATCAGAATTCGCTTGTTTTTGGCTGCAAACACAAGCTGATTCTGCAACAAGGATTAGCCATGTGTTGGCCAAATGTTCAACAAACCGCAAATCTTGAACAAATGCCCTTGAAACAAGCAAACGTCAATACGTCAAACAAATCTTATACAAAGGCATGTCCAGGGCTAACATGAGCCGAAATTTGTATCATAAAATAGGGACTGACATCTTGGCTATGACTGAGTCAGGCGCAACTCAACCCAATCCTCGTGCCAGCTACCAGCACAGGACGCAGCTTGGGGAATGTCGGGGGCCCCAAGCTGGAAAACATATGAAAGCGAAGACCTTCGATAAGTCTATCGCGGATGGTTTCAACTTGAGGCCAGGGGGAGGAGGTCGAAAGCTAGCCGAATCGCACCGGATGTATTAGTTACATAGTCGGCAAAGCATGTAGTGATTACATGGGTGCACTCGTTGGCAGGCACGAAGATGCGTGATCGGCAAATTTGGGGGGTAAATTTACCCCCCGCTTTTGTATGCCTTGAGTCGGAAAGAGGGATAAGCATTTCTGACATCATACGGACTGTACTTACACTAGGGCGTCCGTAGTGTAGGAGAAGCACAGGTAAAAAGTGTATGGAATAGAGCGTCTTGAGGAAATAGCCGGCTTATGGTTATTGCAAACCTGGGGGGTAAATTTACCCCCCGCTTATGTATGCCTTGGGCCGGAAAGAGGGGTAAGCATTTCTGGCATCACAAGGACTGCGCGTACACTAGGGCGTCCGTAGTGTAGGAGAAGCACTGGTAAAAGGGATCAGGAATAGAGTGTCTTGAGGAAATAGCCGGTGTATGGTTATAGCAAACCTGGGGGGTAAATTTACCACCCGCTTATGCAGCAGCAGCCGCCTGCAGCCAGCAGCCAGCAGCAACCACCAACCAGCAGCCAGCCAGCAGCACCACGCAGCAGCAGCGCAGCAAGCAGCAAACAGCAAGCAGCAGCAGCAGCAGCAGCAGCAGCAGCAGCAGCAAGCAGCAAGCAGCAAGCAGCAGCAGCAGCAGCGGCGTCGTCAGCAACAGCAGCAGCAGCACCAAGCCACAACAAGTAGCAAAGCAGCAGCTACAAAAGCGGCAACCAGCGGCAGCAGCAAACAGCAGCAGCAAGCAGCAGAGCGGCAGCAGCAGCACCGTTTACACCAAGCCACCGTTTACCAACCAACCACGTTCACACGTTCAACCCACCCCCGCTACACGGCGCAGCTGGGAGTCGAACCGTGGGGGGGGGTGGTTAGCGTGATATATCAAGCTTTAAGGCACACAGCTCATCCCACTACCAATTGCTAAAGCAAAGAAGAACTCAGCTAGGGTGCTAGCTTTCGTGACAACATCTGAAAGGCTGTTTTATATAAACTCCTACACGGGGTTTTAGATCAACTCCCAAATGTCACTAGCTGCTAGCTGCTGCCTACAGCACCTTCCCGCCACTTCTTGCCCAGTCGCTCCGTCCAGGTATTCTCATAAATGTCGAAGAGCCAAAGAGTGCTCGAAACTCTTTTGTTGGAATCGCACCCTGACCCAGATGTACCACGACGACCACCAAAGACCATCATCCGGCCACTGAAAGAGTTCGCTGAGTGAAACGCAAGCCCGCAAGGATCTGGAATGGGAGGCAATTTATCCCATGTTCCATCATTTCCATCTTTCCCAATACTCCATATCCACAGAAAGCTCATGTAGGTAGCAGAATCGTCGCAGGAGTTCACGCCACCCAGCACCAAGAACCTCTGGCGATCGATGGTCCCCGCTGTCATTGTCACAGTGTGTCCTGCGAAAGGAACTGGGGAAGGATCCAGCTCCCTCCAACGAACTGTTGGGTTGAAAGGATCCGGGTTCACTGCGCCCCAATACACCCGGTCAGTGGCCGGACCAATCACACTGGAAACACATCCACCAAAGCGATAAATGTCCAAGCTGGGGCCATTCATTTGGATGACCTTGGAGAAGACCGCCGCATCCATGCTCGAGCTATCCTGAGAGGAAAGTTGGCCATGAAAAAGCACATGTTTCGAGGGCTCCCCGCTCTTTGCTCCAATCACCAGGCCTTTTTCGAGATCTTAGAGCCAAGGTGCGTCAGAAACTTGCACAAGTTGAAACCCCTCCGGCTCATCTTGTTCGATCTGGATCAGCGAAGTCAAGCAATAGCAAAGGCGTTTTCCTGACATCAAGCGAAGCTATTAGTTGAACAGAATGAATTGAAATCATTCCAACAGCCCGTCCCCGGAACAACTTGTTTAAAAGATCAATAAAGATCCATACTCTCTGGGGGCCCCAAACTAGCAAGCATGGGAAACATTCATATGCAAGCCTTTTGAGCAAATCGAGGCGGCCTTATTGAAAATATGCCTGGAGTCTCCTTTCAGCTGCAAAACCCGCTGATAGCTGATAGGGGGGTTTGGCGCTGGAATGGTCATTTCGTAGTGAAATTCTCATTTCTGCTTCTCATTTCTGCCGGAAGGCCCTTGGGTTCTTGTAGCGTTCCAATAAGTTAGTTTGTTTACATCAAAGTTTGAGGCTTGGGAGTGGGAATTGGGAACATTTGTGCTGTGGGAAGATTTCGTGGGCGGCGCAGATTAAGATCATCAATTGCATCGCGCTGTAGGGGCATGATTGTGTAAAAACTGAACCTGCATGTCCTCATACATTGCAAGTCGGCGCATCATTCTGCAGTTTTTTTTTGCGCCGCAGTTTTTGACGCCGTGTAGCCGGGTGATTTTGGCCGGGCGATCTCGGTCAGGTCCTGAGCTATGAACTTTGTGAAGTCAGTGTTTTCCAACTCGTAGCTGTGACTGGTGTTCTGGTGCTCTTTTGGTTCAAGTTCTGTTTTTTTGTTTTCTTGTTTGACAGGAAACTGTTACAGTGAAGATTTGTGCAGGTATGTGATTGCAAAATTTCAAACATATTTCCAAACGGAAAGCTTTGCAGGAAGACATTGTTTGCTACTGCTGTGTGTTTCTTGTACTGCTGTATTTGTTTTAATCGGTTGTCTCGCAAGAGCAAGATTCAGATGATACCGAGTGGACACTGCCACCTATGCCTGTCAGCCGCCCTTGGCCAAGCACAGTGCCTGAAGAAGATTCAGCTGCTGATGTGACTCAGCAGACCCAACCTGGCCACACTAGTTCAAGCAACGATCGGCCAAAGCAGGACGCGAAGGCTGATGTCGAAGAGAGCCTTGACAAAACGGGCACTGCAGAGTAAGTGACTTCAGTGAAGGAGACGAGACAAACAATTTCGTCTGAGCTTTGGGATCCAATCACCTTCGCAAAGAAGCAGCGCGCCCTGGCTCGCGAGCAGGCGAATCGGTCTCATTCAAGAAAAGTGGCAATTGTTTCCTGGTCAGGCCCATTTGGAAAGAGTGGAAAGAGAACGTCGCCTGTGGCGAAGAAAAAACCTGTGATTCGAGTGAGGTGGAGGGCTCAGCCTTTTGCAAAGCCTTGTGTTGGAGTGTAGCCTTGGAAAATGGCAAGTAGTAGCAAGAAGCTACTAGGGGCTCCTGGCATCGCTACTAGGAGCAAGGACACTACTAGGGGCTCCTGGCCTTACTACTAGGAGCAAGTAGCTACTAGTAGCAAGAAGCTACTGGGTGGAGGCCATCGCTATTCGGTTGGAGGCCATGACTACCAGGAACAAGAGGCGACTGAGAAAATGACAGGGATCCGTCCGTTGCATATTTACGGATCAGTGAAGATGATTTGTCGACCACCCACCCCGAGAAGAAGAGCTGAACATATGGCCAAGTGTAATGCAGTCGTGCTTCTGGCTGTAAATTTAGGTAATGGGTCTGGAAATGATGTGTGTGTGAGGCCTTTTGATGAGGCTCACTGAGGGAAAAGAGTCATTCTCAAAAGGAAAAAACGTGTGTTTGCTATTCTGGAAGTAATGCGTTGAAGTTGTGGCTAAATAAGCTCTTTGCTTCTTAGGTCTCTACACATGGCACAGAGGTGAGTACCCTTTCTGCCACGCACTGTTCTTGTCTCTATTTGCTTTCCAGGGTGATTTCTGAACGCTATGAATGGCCGGGGCCTCAGCATGCATGCAACCCATGAGAGCAAACACATGAAAGAACTAACGTGAACACATGTGACACATGTGAAATGTTTCATTTATTTAAAATGAAATCATGTGCTCATGAAGTCATGTTATCATGAAACCATGGTAGTGCCCAAATCATGTTACCATGAAAACATGTTACCATGAACTCATGTTACAATGAAATCATGTTACCAGGAGACTATGTTACTGTGAAGCCATGTATCATGATATCATGAATCATAAAAACCTTAACTCCATTTAAGCTACTTGGCCAGATGTTGATTCTGCAGGTTCGGAACCGCAGCTGGCGCTGGACATCGAGTGCCCAAGGTGAATCGCGTTTGTGGTCAGAAGCTCCAGGCTCGTAACCTGATGTTATGGTGCATCTGCAGCTGTTTGAGGGAGTGCATCTAAACAGCGGTACGGGCGCAATGCCAAAGTTGCTAAAGCAGCTGTCTGAAGATCCTGAGCTGGTGTCACACTACGCTTCAGCATTTGCTGCAGAGGATCGCCTCAAAGAGGCCTCCTACCTAGATTGAATGTGTTTGCTTTGCGTCTGAGTTTGTTGTTTTTTGGCTCTGTGGCGAGATCGGCAGGTGGGCTTCAGCTTTTTGCAGGTCCGTTCAGAGGCCCTGTTTGGCCAGCGTCATGCTACCAGGAAAGATGTGGGGTTCAACAGTCAAAACATCTTTTTCCTCAAACAGTTTACTGTTAGGGGTTCTCAATTCTTTCTTAAGATGTGTCCGCCCTTTGTGTCACTGCTGGCGCCCGCCCTTTTCTACTGGCCATGTAGCATTTCTATTCATTTGTCTCCCAGGTCTGTCACTGCTGGTGTCCTTTTCCGCTGGCCATGTAGAAACTCTATTCATTTGTCTCCCACACTGGTGTCCGCCCTCCATTTGTCTCCCAGGTCTGTCCATGAAGAGTTTCTATTCATTTGTCTCCCAGGTCTGTCACTGCCCTTTTGCGTTGGCCATGTCGCATTTATATCTATTTGTCTCCCAGGCCTGTCACTGCTGCTGTCCGCCCTTTTCTGCTGGCGATGCAACATTTCTATTCATTCATTTGTCTCCGAGGTCTGTCACTGCTGGTGTTCTGCTGGCCATGTAGCATTTCTATTCATGTGTCTCCCAGCTCTGTCGCTGCTGGTGTCCGCCCTTTTCCGTTGGCCGTGTAGCATTTCTATTCATTTGTCTCCTAGCTCTGTCACTGTTGGTGTCCGCCCTGTTCCGGTGGCGATGCAGCATTTCTATTCATTCCCCAGAGAGTTTACTGTTAGGGGCTCCCAATTCTCTCTCCACTGGCCACGCACCGTTTCAATTCATCTCCCAGGTTCGGCGCCCTCAGCTGGTGTCCTGGGGGTTCTCAAGGCTTTCTAGGAGTGTCCGCCTTGCGTGTCCGCCTTCCGTCTGGCTTGTCTCGCTTCCTTTGTCTCCGGTCTCATCTCTTCTTGTTGGTCACTGTCCGCCTTGTGTGCCTTCTGTTTCCTTTTGCCGCCCGCTCGTTTCTGTCTTGTTTGTCACTGTGTCCGCCTTGTCTTCTTCTTGTCCCCCTTCTTGTTGGTCATGGTCTCCGCCTTGTCTGCCTTCTTGTCTCCCTTTGTCTCCGGTCTTGTCTCCATTCTTGTTGTTCTGGTGGGTCACTGTGTCGTGTTTCCTTTTGTCTCCCTTCTTGTTTTCGCCCTTCTTGTTGGTCACTGTGTCCGCTTTGTCTCCCTTCTGTTTCCTTTTGTATCTCTTCTTGTTCCCTTCTTGTTGGTCATTGTGTCCGTCTTGTCTCTCTTCGCTTCTGTTTCTCTGTCTCCAGTCTTGTCTTCCTTCTTGTTGGGCACCGTGTCCGTCTTGTCTCCCTTCTGTTTCGTCTCCCTTCTTGTCTCCCTTGTCCCCCTTCTTGTTGGTCATTGTGTCCGCCTTGTCTTCCTTCTTTCTTCACATGTGCCTCCTCTCTTCCTCTCTCACTTGCAACTAATTTGTCTCCCAGCTCCTTTGCAATGCTCGATTCTGCCTCTTTCAATCCACTCATTCCATGGAGACATGGTGAGGCCCCTCGATGCGGAAGATTCCACCCTGCTTGCCCTGTCACGCTGCCAGAAGGATTCTGGGCAATCCCAGAGTTCGCAAGGTCCTGTGTCCATGGAACAGTTGAGAACGGCTTTGGAACTGGTGTTGCAGTGTTATGCAATCAGTGGCGCGCCCGCGTGGCAAGTTTGTGAAGTGATGTCGTGCGAACATGTGTGAAAGATCGTGCGTGGCCAGCATGCGGAGGGATCATCCAGTGCTTTTTGATGGGTTGGAGCTGACTGCCCTGCAATCTTTCACATTTGTCTTCCAGCTCTGGGCTGCGTGTCGCTTGCAATCCTTTACATTTGTCTCCCTGTGTCTGTTGTCTCTCATCTCTGGACTGCAGTGGCCGCCCCTGCCTTGCAATCCTTTGTCTCCCAGCTCTGGACGTCGCAAGCTCAAGTTGCAAAGCGATCCGATTTTGTGTTCAGCACTGTCGAGTTATGAAACTATAAAAATCGAGTTGTCCAAGAGCCATGGCTTCTTTATACAATCTGTTATTGAGTAAGAAGTTGCGAAGAAATTAGACTTAAAATATAAAGAAAAGATATGTAGAAAGAGAGAAGGAGAGGGCGGATGTGAAGGAGTGACAGTGTGGATGCGCAGGTGTGATATAGATGCGCAGATGTGTGGAGGTGGAGAGGTACATATGCAGATGTGAGCACGCCAAGATACTCTCGTGGGACACTCTCCCTCAGACACTCTTGTGGGACGCTCTTGTGGATCACTCTTGTGGGAAGCTCTTGCGGGGCACTCTTTTGGGACACTCGTTACTACAAAGTGGCCAATTCTCATGTTCCAGCTCCCCAGATACTCCGCGTACTAAAGTTGTACTACAAAGTCGCCAGTTCTCATCTTCCAGCTCCCCAGATAGTCCGCGTACTAAAGTTGTACTACCAAGTCCCCAGTTCTCATCTTCCGGCTCTCCAGATACTCCGCGTACTAAAAAAATACTACAAAGTCGCCAGTTCTCATCTTCCAGCTCCCCAGCTACTCCGCGCACTACAGTTGTACTACAAAGTCGCCAGTTCTCATCTTCCAGCTCCCCAGATACTCCGCGTAC